CTACCTGGTTCTTGTTCCTGAGGCTTCCATAGTACGACTGACGTGACAGCAGCGTACCCTCGTGGAAACGTGTATGGCTATAAGAAAACCCGAGTCCCAGCTTCCAAATAGACCCTATTTAAGCCACCCACCCCCCCCCCCCCCCCCTACCCCCCCCCCCCCAAACCCCACCACCCCCCCCCCCCCCCCCCCCCCCCCCACCCCCCCCCCAACCCCCCACCAACTTTGGCATCCTTTGACCTAACGAACGCGTTTAAACCTTTCAACTATGCTCCAGCGGGGTCGGCGGCTTGAGCCGGAGGCTCTTAAATTTGGGGGGTGGGTGTCTGGTTTAGGGTATGGAGCTTAGGGGGGTGGTTGGGTTTAAGAGGTTGGGGGTGGTGCTCGCCTGCCTGCGTCTCTAAACCGAAAGCTGAATGAAACCGAGGGCCTGACATTGTCCAAGATCTGATTGACCATGGTGCTGTCATGCCTGCCGAGGATGTCACGAGGCAAGGTCTGCGTGCTCTGGCCTGAAACCAGTGCCATCTCTACATCCCCTAAACACACCAGAAGCCCTAACAAACTGCACAAACCTGACAATCCCAAACCCTACTAACCCCCCCCCAACCCCAAACCCTGCAAACAACGCAAAAACAACAAAAAATGACCCCAACCATCCATTCCTACCCTAAACCCTAAACCCTAAACCCTGAGCCCTATAAAAAAGGGCCAACGGCCCCAGCAGCCTTAGGGATCCCCAAAAAAGGGCGAACCTTTTATTTGTAATAGTTGGGATATTCCCCTTTCAAGTAGGACTTATAGTACCCCCGAGTATAACCCCATTCAGGACTATTACTTAAAGGAGGAACATCCACTTGCAGAAGGGTTATATGATTTATATGCAAACCAAACAGGTATAAGGCCCTAACAGCCCAGGCCTCGCCAAAGCCTCACCCATTTGGTTTGACATCTGCTGCCGTATGTGGGCCAGCCTGCACGTCATGTTTTGCGGGCTCGGGCCCTAAACCCTAAACCCTAAACCCTAAACCCTAAACCCTAAACCCTAAACCCTAAACCCTAAACCCTAAACCCAAAGCTCCCTAAACCCTGAACCCTAAACCGAAAACCCTAACTAGGGCTTGTTAAAATGGCAAGGGCTTGCAGGGGCCTGTGGGGCATGTAGGACTCAGGGATGCTTCCAGCTTAAGGTTCAGGAGTGGAGGGGTTTAGGGTTTAGGGTGTAGGTTTTAGGGTTGAGGTTTTAGGGTTTAGGGTTTAGGGTTGCACAAGATGGACGGTGTCCGTAGTTTCTGGGTTGCTCTGGATCACGGTCAGCAAACGTTCCTGCCATGGACGAACACACTAACAAGCCCGGCAAGCCCACTTCATTCAGCGCCGAACCTGATTATACCACATGCGGGGAATCTGTTCCAACAAAAACTTGGGTGCTAGGTTAGCCACACCCAGGCAACATCATCAAAGCCCACAGCTTGCTACGGGAAATTGAAGGCGATCTCGGCCCAAGGGGGAGATTGCTACACGGTTGGTTATATGGGGGTTTCCGAAGATGTGGGCACCCTTTTTGGGGGTCCTTTTGAGGGGATTCTATTCTATTTGGGGTGTAAAAGGGGCATCCCTATTTTGGGAAATACGCATATGTGTTTCTGCGTATCCCTAACCGCAACTACGCACTAAACCGTCTAAACCCTTGCCACATAAACACTGGGTGCTCGCACGCGCCCAGGGGCGCAGATGCGAAACTCATGGCCTCACCAAGTGCAAGACTCGGATGATTCGAGCACAGGATGCAGGGCACGGGTGCACTGTAGGGCTAGATGTGCTTGGTATATGGTACTTAGTAACCCAATGATAACTGTACTTCTAACTTCTAACCCAATTGTAAACCTATTGGGGTACTTCAGGGGCTGATGAGTGGGCAAAAACTACTCTTATGATTGGGTTGCTCTTATATTTGGGTTATAAATACCCTGAACCTCCAAGTAGAGTTTAGGGTGCAGTCCAGCATGCTGCGTTCTTGGGGCTAGAGTCAGCCTGTGGCACACTCCCATCCACCAAGCGACACGAAGCGACACGAGCCGACGTGAGCCCTCCCTAAACCCTAATCCGTAAACCGCAAAGCGCAAACCCTAAACCCTAAATCCTGAACCCTAGACCTGAACTGCACGGCCTCTGAATGGCATGAAGAAGCTTGGCCTCTTTCTGCGTCTTGGCCATGGAGGTCGAGATGTCTACCGAGGCTCTTGTCACCTGAAGAATGGGCTTCTCGTCACACGAAACCCTAATCCCTAGACCCTAAACCCTAAACAGTAAGACCCTAAAAACAAGTGCCCTACACCCTGGGATGTTCCCCCGTATACTAACAGTCCTTGTTTGGGATCATAGTACCCCCCATATTATGATCCCTGTTAGGCCTTCTTAAGGAACTGTTGGTATAAATCAAGGGGAACATCCCAAGCTACACCCCGAAACCCTAAACCAACCCGGAACTTATGAGGTTCTGAAGGGGGGGGGTTCAAGGGGAAGCCGGCGGTCCCACACAGGCAACTGCTCAGAATCCTACGGTTGAGGGTTGAGGGTTTAAGGTTCAGGTCGGTTAGGCTTTCGGGTGGGGTTTAGGGTTTAGCAGCCCCCTGCCTGCTTGGAGACTTCCTCTTTGATCCTCAGACAGAGAATCTGTGGAGTTTGGGAGTCTTGGGCGCGGATGTCGGGGGTTTAGGGTTTACCTGGAAGGTTTCAGTGTTTAGGGTTTAGGGTTTTGGGTCGACCTCAAGGGTTTAGGGCTCTAAGCTCTGGTCCCCTTTGATCACAAAACCTTCCAGCCCCCCTCGCCATGTGAGCACATAGAGGTTCAGGGTTTAGGGTTGTAGGGTTGGGGGGTTGGGGGGTTGGGGGGGTTGGGGGGTTGGGGGGGTTTAGGGTTCAAGGAGGGTTTATAGGGTGTAGGGATGGTCGTGCCCAGTGGGCCCAAGCGAGTCCAAACAAGTCCATGGGGCTCCGTCACCGTGCTGTTCACGGTGCTCTGGATGCTGCCCACCTGCTGGGTCCTTTGCACTCTTGGGGTGCAGGGTCTAGGGCTTAATTCGGGTTTAGGGTTTAGGGTTGAGGGTTTAGGGTTTAGGGTTTAGGGTTTATAGGGTTTAGGGTTTAGGGTTTAGGGTTTAGGGTTTAGGGTTTAGGGTTTAGGGTTTAGGGTTTAGGGTTTAGGGTTTAGGGTTTAGGGTTGTCCGAGGTCTGAATTCATGGTCGACTCCGTTGCCGAAGGTGGGGAGGCGAATATTAAGACCTGAAATCATATTCATCTACCTAGACGAAGTTCAGGAAAGTTCCTTCATCAAGGGCATCTGGGAGTCTCGGGAAGAAGCAAGTCCAGCAAGGACTACGGAATCAGCTTGGCCTCTGCTAAGCCCACCCGCCAGAACCGCAACCCCTAAACCCCAAAGCCTAGTCAAAAGGGCTTGAGGTGTCAGGAATACACAAGATAGCATCAGAAAAGCAGAGATATGGAGAGACATGCACTCTGGCACTGCGATGTCTGACACACTTGCGTCAAAACCCGGCGCATATGGATTTGGGAGTGCAGGCCCTAACTGTAAGCCCTATAAGCCCTAGATCCCAAACCCTTAACGCCCCAATAAAGGCCCATAAAGACACCAAATCCCAAAACCTAAATAAGCCCTATAAAGCCCCACAAAGCCCTAAAGCCCTAAACCAGACAGGACATGGAGGCTCTCTGCAACCAGGCGGCACCTCATCCCTGGAAAGTGCAGGAGTTCAAGGGGTTGGAAGCGTCTTTCACCACGGGGAGGTTGGGGCCTTTTTGTAGGGCTTAGGACTTCTAGGGTTTATAGAGTTAAGGGTTTTGGGGGGGCGTTTTTGTAGGGCTTAGGGTTTGGGTGCTAAAGATACACCATTGCGCACACCCGAAGCTCCATAATGTGAGCTTGCATGGTGCACTATCAATACGTGCCAGTGCGTCGCCTGGAACAAGCCGTTTGTTCACAGAGCCCATGTGAGATTGGAAATCAGAAGCCCGTGCTCGAAGAACTGGCCGAAGAGCACTTGGAGGTTCATGGGCAGGCAAAAATGTGCCAGCTACTGCCACCCATGAATTTTCAAGTACACCCTAAACCCTAAACCCTAAACCCTAAACCCTAAACCCGAACCGTTGCTTACAACTACCCACGTGCAGCTTCAGCCCAGTCGCCGGATGCCCATGAGCTGCTTCCCCAAGGATGAGAACATGGCGAAGCGGCCCGGAAAGAGAGCAAGTGAGAGAGAGAGAGAGAGAAGAGACGGAGGGCCCGAAACCCCAAAACTTAAAGAACCCCTGAACTCTAAACTCTAAACCGGAAAGGAGAACGGAAGGCAGTTACATTCTGTTTCTGTCCCTGCTTTGTTGTGGGGTTGCAACAGACTTTTTCAAGGGGGGGTCTGTGGTATCTCTTGTGGCTTTGGATCAGGTTCGCGGAACAAGGAGTGTGAGGGAAGGTGTGAGCTGGATGTACCTATGAGAGCTAAGAGCGAAGCCCATGCAAAGCTACCGCTGAGCTTACTTGAGGCAAGGGCGGAACTGCTGGAAGAGAGGCTAAGAGCAACTGCGCGAGGCTTCACAAAAGCAGATGTACCCCCAAGGCAGCCCCCGTTGTAAGTTGCAAGTGCCATGCTTCGGAGAGCGCTTGAGCGGCTGCTGTGTTCACACGCTCTTGCTGCCCCCCTCCCTGACCCGATCTCAGTCATTTCTTGTCGGCCGCCCGGCGCCGCAGGTGCGAGAGACGACCAGTGAGACCGGCAAAGTCCGCGGGGCGCGGTGGCTGGCGGGGCGCAGCGGCGGGGAGCGGCCACGCAGGGCAGCAGCGCGCCTCTGACAGTGCATTCGGTTTCATGGCTCTAGCGCGACCACATGGGGGCTCAGCTGCGCATTATAAGCAACGCAAGGCGCTTTTCGGATTTTCCACGCAAGGTTCGGCCAGTCTCATATAGGTGCCATATATGCTTTGTCACAGGAGCCGCACTTCTTCTGCGCACACGGCGACGGCTTCCCCGCGCCGCAGGGCTTCGATCTGCTTCCCCAGCTCCTGGCACAGAACGGAAAAGCACTCAATAAAAAAGACTGGCCTGGATCATTTCCAGAACCGCCGTGTATTTCAACATCGATTAGTAGCATGCAGCATGTAACAAACCAAAATGCTACCAAAGAAACTCTGAGCCAATTTGGCCTACACTTTGACCCATGAATGCTGGTATGCCCGACTTTCTTTAGGGATGGGCTCCCAACTATACTCCGTGGATATCCAGCGTCACCCGGCGCCGCTTTTGCCACAGCCCTCGCCTCTGGAACCCTGGATTCGACGCCAAACTCCAGGAGAAAAGAAAACTTCAAGGTCCCTCAAAGCCCAGAAACCTAAGCCCTCATCACACCCTACAATCCATCCCAAGTTCAACCCAATAAGCCCAACTTGACACCCTAATTGCAAAAAAAAAACCTAGTTAAACCCAAACAAAACCCACTGTAACCGCCCCCCCCCCCCCCCCCCCCCCCCCATGTTGAAACCCCTACAGGGGGGGGCGCCTGCTGCAGGCGCTGCGCCAGGGACTCCCTGGAGTCCGGCCGCAGGAGCTGCGCGGCCGCCAGCAGCGCCGGTGCCTCCGGCGGCAGGAAGCTCCCGTGTGGTTCGGTGCTTTGTCTTTTGGGAGTTTTGGTTTAGTGGGGCTTCGTCTTGTTGGGCTTGTACAGGGTTTATCAAGGTTATGTAGGGGGTTTATAGGGTGTCGTTCGGGGTTTATATAGGTTGTTTAGCGCTTGTCGTAGGGGTTTATGTGATAGGCGGGCTTTGCAGCATCATTTGCAAGCTGCAACCTCCAGAGAAAAAACACAAGCGAGGACTGAAATGGGAGTACCGAGAGACCAGCGCTTGGCCAAAAGGCCTCCCCAAACCGTGCAAGGCACGTATCTTAGGGTAGTTGCAAGGGCAGTGGGGCTACCCTTCTATAGCCACGTTAAGGGGGCCATGCAATTCTACCCTTCGAATATGAGACCATAAGCCCCCAGAAAATCGCCAAAGCATCAACCCTCCAAACCCTCAACCCTAAACGTCCCGCCCCTCTCCCCCTAACTGCCCTGAGAATGGTACCAGGAGTGCCAGGCGGGTCAGGAAAATGCAACGGTAGGCGAAGCCGATCGCCGACACTGTCAGGCCTTGGGCGGAAGGCTTACAGGGCTTGAGGGGGTTCGGAAGGTTTAGGGGGTTTATAGGGTTTATTTAAGGCTTAGGGTCTAGTCAGGGCTTAGGGTTTTGGAGGGTTTGGGGGGTTCAGGGGGTGAGGGGGTTTAATTAGGGGTTTAGGGTCTATGGAACATGCCGAGGGGCAACAGAAGCTAAAGCTCTGGAGGGTGTTCACCTGAACCACAGGAAAGCCGGCTTTGTCACGCTGTGTTCAAGCCCTATATCCACCATATACCCTAGAAACCCTGGTGGCTGTAGTTCTGCAAGGGTTCTACATAGAGTATATACAAGCCTAATCGTGGCTTCAAATGTGTTTGCTTCTGTCAGTAGTTCTCTCGCTCTCTCTCTCTCTTCGCTTTGCCATGAAGATACATAGTTCATATCACCAAAATAGTTCAGGTCGGCTTCTAAGCTTCTGCGGTCTCTCGCTCTTTGCTGCCCTTCCGTCTATTCCCCCCCCCCCCCACCTGGGGCTGCGCGAAGGGGCGGGCGCTGCCGATGATCACCGCCATGCCGAAGGTAATCGCCATGGAGAGCCAGAGTCCGTCTCTGGCAGACACCACCTGGATTTAGGGCTTAGGTTGAGGGTTCGGGGTTTAGGGTTTAGGGCTTCTAGGGTCTGGGATGTAATCGGATGTTCAAGGCTTTGAGGGTCTTCAGCGGCCCTCAGCAGCCATCTGCCCTCAAAACCATGGCCTAAGAGCTCAAAGTTGGCACTGGCTGTAGGGTTTATAGGGTATATAGGGTATATAGGGTACATAGGGTACATAGGGTATATAGGGTATATAGGGTATATAGGGTATATAGGGTATATAGGGTATATAGGGTATATAGGGTATATAGGGTATATAGGGTATAGGGTTTAGGTTTAGGGTTTGGACTTGTGGGGGGGGAGGGGGGGCTTGAAAAGGTTTCGGGAGAACCGTGCAGCGGAGCCACAGGCACCAGGCATGCGGAGGCGAGCTTCAAGGCCACCTCCATCCACACGCCATCGCAGTATGCCTCAGAGGGTGTTTGGGGTGTTAATTTAGGGTTTAGGGTGTTCATGGACGAGCTTATCGGGCCTCCCTGATTCGAGGATGGCTCTTGGGGATCCTCCCGCGGTGTTTCCTTCGGAGGGCCATTCGGGATGTTGTAGTCACAGAGAAGAGGTACTAGCGTGTCAATGGCAAGGCGTGACGATCTGCTTGTGACCTCTTCTGCCAGCCACTCTTAGCAGGGCCACGTGCAGAGCAGTGCAGGAATAGGCTGCCACGGCCCGTCAGTGCCAGCTACTTGCAAGAGAGCGGCGTACTTGCAGAGCAGCTGTCGAGCTCCAAGCAGCAGCCCTTGGATGCACGATGCGTGGTCGTCGGCCACTTTGGGTCGCAATGTGCTTTTCCACAAAGTAGGCCGACTAGGCCGAGTCGTGGCTGCATGCAAGGCGCTGTCTGACTGGATCTCTTCGAGGATGCTGCGCTCCGTCAGCATCTGCATGATGTAGTTCCGACGAAGCACGCTTTCTTCCAGCTTGTTCGTTTCCGCTATGAAGCTCTCAGCCTTAAGACCGAGCCCCGAGCCCCCCTCCCCGCCCCAAAAAAAGAACATCGAGGCAAGGCATCTTACTGAGAGTGAGAGAGCTGAGAGCACTCCATGCACTTCCTTCTCCAACGTCCTCTCAGGCCCAAGCTGAGAACTCCTCATACTTGTCTCCCGCACAGCCGACGCCCGCGTGATCTTCCGAGGTCACGATCCTTATACAGGAGAAGAAAGGAGGCGCCTAATCGACCCCTAAACCCCTAAACCCCTAAATCTCTAAACACCTAAACCCCTAAACCCTAAACCCCTAAAGCCCTTAACCCCTATGAAACCCTAAACCCTTCACTTTCTGCTGAGTGGCACTGCGTCCGGGCGGAGTTCCACCAGGGCACGCCCAGGCCTCTGCGTCGCAAGGTGAGCTGCGGCCGCTGCCAGCAAGCGCCTGGCCAAGAGCCCCTCCTGCGCGAACCAGGAGAGGATTTTTTAGCGTTTAGAGGAGATGGGTTTAGGGTTTATAAGGGTTGAGGGTTTCAGGAGATTTCAAGAGACGAACAACTTTGCGACAGCTCAACTCCTCGAAGTGCTGGGACGTGCTGCAAGGAGTGAGCTTCAAGCGGGCGCCGCCGCTCTCATCTTCGGCACTCACGACGACGAAGGTCTTGCACTGCCTTCAGCGCCCCACCGCACAAAATGCAAGAGTTTCTGCAAGAGTCGCTTGCCAATCAAAGCCCCACGCCCCAAAAAACAGCGGGGACAACACAGAATGGGGGTTCAGGGGGGTTTTTAGGGCTTTTGGGGGGGTCCCTGAACTCCCTGAACCCTAAACTTGCAAGCCCTAAACCTTGATGAGCCGGGCGGCCTCATGACGCGCCGCTGCTTGAATAAGAGGAAGGCGAGGAAGCAGGGCACGACAACGCCGTAGATCGCCCCTGTGGTCCAGCCGACTCCGTCCACCTCATGGAGCAGCAGCTCGGACCGGAACAGAAGACACGGATATACACTTATCTGCACGTCGCGCCGCAGTGGATTCTGACGTACGAGTCTTGTCAGCACGAGGAGGCTCCCTGAACCCTGAACCCTAAACTCTATACCCCTCAACCCTAAACCCTAAACCCTGCATGCTGGGCCCGCCCACCAAAGCGGCGGCCGCGGTGTCCTTGGAGCACTTGAGCCACGGGAAGAGCGGCCGGAAAGCCCAGTCGTCGCCAATCCACGCGCCTCCCGTCGAGAGCTGTGTATGTATCTTGAGCGGGAGACTCCATCTTTACAAGGTTTCTGCGGGTTCCTTCAGGGTATATTGATACTCCTCTTGAGTTTTGAGTTTGAGGGTTCATTTTGCGGGGTATATACGAAGAGTCTTTCGGCTTCCTTTGTCCAGGGTTCCTGACTGCAGGGTTTTTTTTCACACATTGGGGAGCCTTCGCCGTCCTCGCGCTGGCAGCCCAGGAGCTGCACGGCCCCGGAGGCGCCGCCCACGAAGAGGAGCGTCAGGGCCCGGAGCGCCAGCTGGATGCCTCCGGGCCGGCAGCTGCTCTTACTTTCTCGTTTTTTGCTTCATAAGAGGGGTGCGTGTCTCATTTCGGGTGGGGGGGTTCTTGCTGCAACGCCTATGTAACACAGATTCATCGCACCATCTCCCCCCCCTTTTTATGAAGAAAGACCCCCTCCTTTGCCGCGGCCCCACAGCTCCAGGGTGGCGCAGGCCGCGAGGACCAGCAAAGGAAGCACCGGCGTCGCGACGGCGAAGGCGGCCCGGACGCTGGCGCCGTCGAAGTGGCACTGCCTATAGAGAAGGGGCCGAATGAGTCCTCTAGAAGATTGGGCTCAATCTGTATACCCTCTGTATATATACATATATGTATATATATATATGTATATATGCTGCTTCCTATCTTGTCAGGCATGCGGCTCTACATACAATTTAAGTATAGGGCTCCTTTTTGTCCATAGTCGCCAAGGTGCAGGTCCAGGAAGCTTGACAGCTCGGTGCCCGTGAGCTGAAGGACTTCCATGTAGGACACAAGCGGGTCGCCTCAGATCGATGCACGCATCTGCTCCGGCTGCACTACTTCTCCGTGACAAGAACGCAATGCCCCATGAAACCCCCGGCGCGGCTTGGACTGACCTCTCCTACCCTAAGCCTTACAAACCCTATAAACCCTGAATCCTAAACCTATAAAATCTATAAACCCTAAACACCCTTAAACCATGAATCCCTTTCCTCAGGCAAGTTGCTTTCCATCGTGGAGCCCCCCGCGGCTGAGGTGTCCGTGTCCGTGACGTTGGTTGCAAGCGCCTCCTGCAAGACCTCAGCCGCGCTCACAACAGACTGCAGCGAG